ATTGAGCTGTGTTGAAGAAGAAACTACCAAACTAGTTTCTGTTTCACTATAAAGTTGATTTCTCAGCTCAAGGTAAGTGTTTTTGGCTTTTTGTTTATTTATTTATTTTTTATTTCACCAAATAGAGTTTCATGGGTTTCCATTGAGGTCAACCTTGCAACACTAGAAGCCATTGCATAAAAGAGCCCTCCCAAATTGGCACGTAAGGCCAAGTTTGGGAATGCTTTAAAATAAGTGCTTATTCAAATAAACACTTATTTTGAGCCGGGATTACATCAATGAGCACTTATTGGCATTTGCAAAATTAGACAAAATAAGTGCTTATTTTGAGAGTAAGCACTTATTTTAGAAGGCCAAAATTCAGACTTATTTTTTAAGTATTTATTCAATAAGCGTTTATTCCCTTTCTAGCCTGTCTTGGCCTGCCATGTCATTTTGAAAATACCTATACTATACCTATTTGAAATAAGCACCTTTTCACCAAACACTAATGAACACTTATTAGAATAAAAACTTATTTTTTAAATAAACACACTCAAACTTGGCCTAGATCTCCTTGGCATGGGGATGAATAGGTGAGGTAATAAAGGAGTGTAAGTTGAATGTCTCTAAGGCTCAGCTTGAGAAGAGTACAAATACAAAAAAGTACAATGCAAATACAAAGATTTATAATATAAAATACAAGGTTTTGCACTGTACAAATTTATATTTGTACCCTTTCTAAATTGAACTTCATTCTTAGTTTGGAATGAATACAAATACATACAAAATAATATAGAATATAAGATTTTACACTCTATATATTTGTATTTATACTCCTTCCAAACTGAGCCTAAATGACTTAAATGGTTTACCTACCTAGTCGCTAACCATAATTCGTATCAATGTCGTTGCCTCTCTTCTTTAAAAGCATTAAATATTCATGCGCAATGAAAATGTAATTTATTACATATCCTTAACTGTTGGAGCACACCAAACCAAGTTATTTAACCTATAGGCTATGTTTGGTTTGTAATAAAATATAGGGTAAGAACTAAGAAGGGACCTTGTATGATTTCCCTGCATTTCCCCTCTTTCAAACCAAACACAGACTTAAAACATCATAACTTACTACCAAATTTCCACAATCAACCTCATGGCGACTCTCACTCATAGCAACTTTCACTTTGGCAACGAATAGCCCCCTACCCTCATTATAATCAGGATTTGCTCCTTCCAGAGTGCATCTGCCAATGGCGGAACCAGGAATTTTATGGTTTGAGAAGGTTTTGAGTCTATTACATATTTTTTAAAGAAAAAGTAAACAACTTCATTATTATTTTTTTTATTTTAGGGATTGGAGGAGAGTTAGAATATGATTCTTTACATTTTAATTCAAGTTTTGAGGGGCCCAAAGACCTAGTTTTTTACATTTTGACGCAACCTCCCATTTAGTAACCCTATATAAATAATGATTTAATAAAAAGTTTGTGGGGCCAAGGACCCCCCACCAGTATACTTGGTTCCTCCTCTGGTAGCCGCACATTTGGAATATCTTCTGTACTTGTATTGATGGAGAGATATTGCTCATACAATGGCTGCAACTTGGGTGAGGTTGGTGTAAGGTGCACTCTATACTTGCATTCATGGAGAGATATTGCTCATAAAATGGCTGCATCTTGTTGTGAACTTGGCGTAAGGTGCACACAATGTGGGGCAAATTTGAATTCCTATCTATAAGTAGAGATTGGATTTTTTTTTTTTTTTTGAAAATAGCAGAGATTGGATTTGCTCCTCATGGAGCGCACCTAACATACTTCACAAGACATTTTAGCCATGCATACGGAACATCTCCCTAATTATAAATTTGTATTCATGGGAAGATGTTCCTAGTGCACGACTGAAACATACTGTAAGGTTAGTGTAAGGCACGTTATGTGGATTCCCAATCTCCTGTCTATAAGAATCAAGGTTTAAAATTTTGATATGATACGCCCGATATGGGGCATATCATATTTGGGCGTATCGTATCTTATCTTTGAAAAATAGATATGGGTACGCATGGAAATCGGATGTTTCATCTTTTTTCATGCATATTGGACCCGTATCGGGGCGTATTGGGGATGTATCGAGGTGTATCAGTAATGTATCAATATGCTTTATTTCCCTGAAATAAGCCTTCTTTCACCCACAAATGACTATAAAACTCCAAACTCCATTCCTAGAGTGCTAGATTTGCAAAAGTTTGCAAGAAACAAGTGTGAATCGTTAATTTTTTAAAGATTTTTCAAATTTTGAAAATATATGACAAAAGTAGGTAATTTTTTTTTGATTTTTTATAATATCTTGTGATTTATTTTTTTCTTGAATGTTTAAATTTATGTTGATCTACATTTTTGACATACAAAATCACAATTTTTTTTTTGTGTTATCAGTAGATTTATGGAAATTTCATGAAGATGTTTGGGAAAAATATAAATTAACAAAAATTATGAAAATATAATTTTTTTTCTTTGCCCATAAAGACTAAATATGTTTTAGATCTATGGATTTATCTATCATATCGATAGAGCAATTGAAATTTCTTCTTTAATAATTATTTTTATGTTTTTAGAATTAAAAAATAAATAAATAATTAATTAATTATATTTTATCATTTGATCACAATGATTGAATATATTATAATTCTATGGATAATCTATCATATCCACAAAGCAATTGAAATTTCTTTTTTAATAACTATTTTCTGAATATATTATATAATGTTTTATTTATTTTTTATAACTTTTGGAAATGAATAATAAATAATTATTTAAATAATAAAAAATTATTAATTATATTTTCACATAGAAGTTGTGCCAATGCATGTTTTATGGTTGAATAGGAGAGTTGGGTTTTTCACATCCCATAAAACATTAAAACTTAAGAATTATAATTTATAAATTATAGTTAGGCATAGGATTTTTAATGAAATTATAATTAACTATAATATATTTCTTCATAAAATTATTAAAATATATTAACTTAATGTATATACACCTCATTGAGGCCTTATATTTAGTGTTGTTGATGTATTTTTATGATTTATTAAAGTATTTATAGTGTTTTCAAGCGTATCTTAGTTTTTCTCCGATTCGCATGCGTATCTAAGGCGTATCCCGATACATCTCTTAAAATTGCCTTTCCAATACACTTGACGTTTTCGATACTTTGAACCTTGAAAAAAACTCTACCTAGGGGGTGCAAATGGATAAGATCATGATCCGATCCGATCTGAGGTCTCATCCTATTTGGTTGAATACAGAGCACCCCTGGTTGGATCTTTGGATCAGATCGGATTCCAATCACTCCCATCTGATCCGATGTGTTATATATTTATAAATATATATATATATATATAATACATATATATGTTATTTATTTATTTATATTGTGTTTTATTTTTTTGTTATATTATTTTTTTTATAAAAAACATGTATATATAAAACTAATTACAAAATACTTGTATTTTTGTTTATTCTTTATTTAAATTGGCATATTTTATTTTCTTTTAATAATTTATTATTTTTTAAAGAAAACAAATCGGATCAAATCAGATCTGAAGATCCAAACGGATTTAAATTCAGCTCGAGTTCTATCAGATCTAATCGGATTTTCAGATCAGATCCAGAATGTTGGATCAAATTCGAATCCGATCCGATCCATTTGCATCTCTTACTTTACCCATTCCTATTCACAAAATACTGCCTCTGTGCATTGAAAACATCTCCACATGGATGAATGAGATGTTTCCCATGTGTGGTGCGATGTTACGTGGATAGATGTGGGTAAGAAATCTGAATTAGGAGCAGTTTCGAACTCTCTGAACTTTTACTCTACTGCCGATAACTATTCTCTCAGGTAACCCATTCCGTGATCTAAATTCAAGATACAAAATGCAGGTACTAACATCAATTATTTCATACTCTGATCAATATGCTAAATGCTGTATTATTGTTGAAAGTTGAAACAGGTCTAGCCAACTTGTTTATTCTTTCACACTGTAATCCTTTTTCTATTGATTTAGAATGGAGAAAATTACTTTTCAAAATCTGTATAACGTTGTAGCAACTGCCAAGAAGGTGGCGTTAAATTGGAATCGTGCCTTTTTCAGTTGAGAAACGTGGAGGGAAGTTACCTAATCCATTTCCCGGAAGGATTCCTATTTCCTCTCCCTACGGAGATTTGTGGCCAATGTTGTATTATATCCATCTTGACAGGGGCATTTTCGTCATTAAAAAGATTTTATTTTCCCCGAAATATCCTCCTCGGCGTCCGGGTAACGGGGTGAGGCTACACCTATACGTGAAGGGTACACGACCCTTCCGCAGCACAAGGCTAGGACCTGTGGGACGTACTTAGGGAGTTAGGGTAGGTCTGTCCTTTGGATCCATTAAACGGAACGGAATCCATAAGAAAACAAACAAACCAAACCAATACTCACGATGGTCAAGCGAACTGACACCACGATATGACCAAAAGTTCCTTTCCCTCCCCGTAAGTTTAGGGCACTCCATCGAAGCAATGATAATGTAAATCCTCAGGGCAATACCGTCATTCCACCTTAAAAATTCGAAAAAAAAACCCTCGATGGAGAGAGAAAGTTTAGAGAGAGAGGGAGGGAGATGGTGAAGAAATGACCCAGCGGTTTCGCGACACTCAAACAGGCAAATCAGTCCAATCAGGCGCCAAAAGCATATCATGAGTGTTCCAATCATGCATGACATGCACATACATACATCACCCCGTTCCTTCACATAACATCATCATTCATCAGTGATCAGTGAATCTCGATCCCCTGCCAACTAAAATACGTCCCAACACCCTACCAACAAATTCGATACCGTACATCTCACCACGAAACTGAAAAAAATGGGTCTCGCGGTGAAGGATTGTTGGCAGGGTGTTGGAACGTAATATGTTGTAAGGAGACCCCAACTCGTGATCAGCCCCTTCATCCACAACTACCTCTCCCTATCTCTCTGTCTTCTATTTATTGTCCTCCGCCTCTGCGGTGCGGATTCACATCGATTCTTGTTCCTGAGAGTGAGAGCAACATTGGTGGGAGGCAACGGAGAAGCAGCGATGGGTGAGGTGCGAATTCGTTTCCCATTCCAGATCACTCGCAGTCGCATCTCTTTCTCCTCTCTCGACTCCTTCTTGTTGAGTCTCTTGAAGTTGTTTTCCGAAATGAATGGCGACCTCATTTTGTTTCCTTTGTTGGGTTTGTTTGTTGCAGAAGGAGAACAAGAATGAGGGCAAGAAGAAGAACGGCGATAAGAAGGCCGAGGGTGGGAAGAAGGACGATGGTACGATTACCGTGGTTTTGAAGGTTGATATGCACTGTGAAGGTTGTGCAATGAAAGTCAAGAAATCTGTCAAGGGTTTCGAAGGTAGATCACGCCCACGACGACAATATGTTTCGTCATATTTCGATTAATGTTAAGTGTGGCATTTGCATCTCTTTCTTCGCAATGTTTCGTCGTGTTTCGAGGTCAATCTCTTTCTTCAGTCTGATTCGTCAGTTTTAACTTCTAATTGTATTTTGATTCTGGATTTTACAGAGTTCCTCCCCATCCCTCCCGAGTTACTCTAAATCACCTTTGGTTTTATCGATTGAGTTCGGTCATTTTGGTTTCTTCCTTTCGTCTCCGCTTAGACTACCGAGGTTTCCAACAAAGTTTCTGAGAATGTGCTTTGTTATAGACTAGCCATTGCTTTCTTAATCGTTTTTGTGCTCTGTTTTCTGATGGGTGAAGGTGTTGAAGACGTGAAGGGAGACTTCAACAGCAACAAGCTAACCGTAATAGGGAAGGTAGATCCAGTGAAACTTCGAGAGAGAGTAGAACAGAAGACGAAGAAGAAGGTGGAGCTCATCTCCCCGATACCCAAGAAGGGAGATAAGAAGGCAGAAGATAAGAAGGAAGAGAAGAACGAGAAGAAAAAGGAAGAGGGGAAGAGCAAAGAGGTAATTTAGAAATAGAAACTAACGTGCGCGTACTTCCGTTCCATGTCCGACTAATGTGCGCCTCCTTTTTTTGTAAAGCTACCATTTATTTCGATCGTCGTGGGCTTTTATTTTATTGGGGTTTTACTTTGTTTTTCCGCCTTCTGAACCTAACCAGGGGGGTAGTGGGATGGCGCATCTGGCGTATTCTAGCTACCCTCGTGAGAAGTCAAGAAGTCAGTCAGGGTCATTGAGGGCGTTCAATCTGTTGCAATTCCTTCAATTTTTATTTATATATAGCCTCCCATTACTAAATGGCCATATCGAGGCGCATCTTAGTCCAGATTAATTTTACTTGGCTTGAATTAATTATTAATCAATTTATTTATATTCTTCTACAGCCACCTGTGACGACAGTTGTTCTGAAGATCAGATTGCACTGTGAAGGATGCATCCAGAAAATACGACGTATCACCTCCAAGTACAAAGGTGAGGAGAGAGATAGAGATCATCTTCGTCATCAGTTAAAAAAATTTCAGTAATTTCTACTGTATTTTGTTTTGGTCGAATTTTTAGTTAAATTAACTTGTGAAACAAACGTCAAACATACACCATGTGTAATGGCTAATCTGGGTGTTCATTAATGAGACATACGGATTGGGTAATGTTTATTTTTTTAATAGTTAGGAGAAGGGGTCGAGCCTTGTCCAAAGTTTTCAACAGTTGGCGAAACTGATTCCCACCTTTTCCTCTATGAAATCAATGAAAAGGGGGGAAAAGATTGGTGAAGATACCCATACAAAGTCCTCGAGACTGTAGAATATTTTAGTTACTGCACATTCTGACAGAAGGGTAATGGTAAAATGGTGTGGTTTATTTGGTTGCAGGGGTTCAAACTGTGGGAATCGACTTGGCAAAGGACCTGGTAACAGTGAAGGGGACGATGGACGTGAAAGCCATGACACCTTACCTAAAAGAGAAGCTTAAAAGAAGCGTAGACGTTGTTCCGGCGAAAAAAGATGATGGAGGCGGTAAAGACAAGGAGGGCGGCGGGAAGAAGAAAGAGGGTGGCGGAGAAGGGGAGAAGAAAGAGAAGGGTGGAGGAGGCGAGAAGAAAGAGGGTGACGGCAAAGGTGCCGGAGGCGGAGGGAAGAAGGAGGATGCTGGGAAACCGGTGGCCGAAAACAGGATGGACTATTACGGCCCCAACTATGTGGTGGACTACGTTTACCCGCCGCAGCTTTTCAGCGACGAAAATCCGAATGCCTGCTCCATAATGTAAGAACCAAAGAAGAAAGCAAAGCCTGGTAAAACTAAAAAGCTAAGAGAGGGAGAGAGATAACTTGAAAAAAAAAAGCGATGTAAATAAAAGATATATTATATATACGGGAGGAAGAGTACATATACTAGAGAAGGGGATCGATGGAAACGGCTTTTGCTGTTGGAGATGTTTATAGGTTTACCCGGGCCGGAGTCGGTCGGGTTCTCGGTAGTTCGTAGCTTTTGGTTCGTCCTCTGTATTTTCCAATTGCTTATTTAGTTTTGGTTAATTCAATTTTGTTTTGTGAATTCCCAAATTCAATGGTTGCCACGTGGATAAATAAAGAGTTAAAATCAAAGCGAGCCCACTCCACTCCCCAGTTCTCAGCAGCCAGCCAAGAGCTTGTCTTTTGTAAAATGCATTAAAAATTGAAAGGGAAAAGTGGAAGAGGGTCAGCACGTTCTCGCTCTCAGGCTCTGCTGTGTGGAAGGAGTGAGTGTGTCCTTCCTAGCTTTCCCCCGGACCCCCGCCTAGCTGGAGCCTGGAAGGAGTCAGTAGTCCTTGAGGGCTGTCTTGTTTGTAGTCGCCGTCAAGTCATAAAATGAACAAAGGGGAGACCAGTCGTGCCCTCCATCTGAAAATGAAACCACGCCATCTCATCCAACTATTATGCCGATTGCCTATGAACAACCCATGTGTACAGTGGATGTGCCTGTGAGGCGCCCATCTGTGAGTAGTAGCCAGATCCAGTTCCGCTTCTTCTACGCTACGCCGCATTTTTTTACTACATTTGGATTTGGTAAACTCAACGTGTCCAGTCCGTCCATCCATCTCATCTTTCGGGGGGGATGCATGCAATGCATCCATGCATCATCATCATCATCATAATCGTCATGCCATGCATCACCATCCATATTCTGTTTTTCTTTTTGTCTCGTGTCCATGGAAAAAGAGAAAAAGAAAAGGAGGAAGCTTTCTCCATCTCTCTCTCTATATATGTGCTTTTCTGATAAAGGGACAAAGGCATGTGGGAGTGGAAGTCATAACAAAACAGTGTGGATGAATATTCTACCTAATCAACCATGTCTTAGGGGGTCAGTCAACGCATGAACCCCCATTTTTGTTGTTGCTCTTCTTGTATTATAATTAGAGAATGGGATTTTACAGCTCAGGAGCTTCCATCAAATAGCAAAACGACATGCATATGCCCTCAGATTCTAATCCTATCATGGTTACTTTCCAATACCCATCCATGATGTAAAACAAATAAAAGGGTGTTTTTGTATTGACATTAGGGCAAAACTATTTAATTACATCACTAACTCTATATTAGTGGGAAAAAAAATAATTCTGAAGCAACTAACAAGACTCGAAGTATTCATGCAATTCCACTTAATGTTGTACAATATTGACTAGTATTTTGTTATTTTCCATGAATATTGGTCTATGTTCTAATTCTTTCTCCCAACGTTTTTTTTAAGTACATTTCAGTAGTTCATTCCTTACGTAAACCATTAATATGTGTTTATACCCTACTAATAGTCATTTAAGCTTAGATTCAATGTGATGGAGGCACTCTTTAATCATTCCACAATACCCATTTAATTTGTTCTTAATTAACCATACTCCGATGTATTATCTTTTCATTTCTCTTTCAGATGCCAATACTTTAAAGTTTAAACCTTGTACACAAGTCACTATTTTTGTGCAATGAACTGACAAAAGGAAGAGCAATGCTGAAATATAATGGTACCATTGACCTTTAAAAGCTACAAAGAGTTGACTTCAATTCTAATAGAACAGGAACAAATGTGCTTTCACACCCTGAAAAGATACATATTTTTAGGCAACACCAGTAAAAAGCGCTCAAATGTTGGGGCAGCACGACGTCTTGGAGATGCCAAGTGATGGTTGAGGAATGCAAGAAAAATTGCAGAGGACTCCAGGATAAGGGTGTGGTACCAGGAGAAGGTAATCAAGTTGCTGGCTAGTTGGCGATTGAAGGCCACAGCAGGGAAATTCAAGATAGTGGGACTTCAATTTATGCTTTAGGGTGTTCCTTCTCGGTGTTTTGTTTGTTTAATTTCTTTCTTTGTATGAAAAACAAGAGTTCAGATTGGCACCCCACATGCACATCTCAGCGTGCATTGGGAATATCTTCCATACTTATCATGGGAAGATGTTTTCAATACATGACTGGGATGGGCTGTGGGGTGTGCTCTGTGGGATGCCCATGTGAATTCCAAAAGGAAAGTGTAAACCTATACATATTTTTCCCAAGAGTTGCAGACTCCTATCCTAACTCATCAATTTAAAATCTCCAACTTACCAATTTACCATTATTTTTTCCATAAATTCTGAAAAGTACTTATGATAATAGTATTGTTGCATAAACATATTTCAACACAAGAGTCATGAAAAATTAGAAACTGCAAGTCAATGTTAATGGCTATTGAGGAACAAGTACCTTTTGCACTAGTTCCAAACAAATCCCACTCGTTATCAACAATTATTTTAGCTACTTTGAGCTGTTAGGATATTTTATTTCATATTTAATCAAATTAAGTACATTGTGTAATATATTGTTGTATGTTTAATTATTTACAATTAAATGCTTGAGATATTGTTTTTTTGTAGAAACCACTTCTTTCCCCAATTGCACAACAGAGCATTATAATATTTTGTAGTGTTCTTGTTGTTTGTGTTGTACTGTTGTATGCTTTTCTTTCTTTCTTTTTTCTTCTAGCTTTTGTTTTAGGGCAGAGTGATTTGGGAACAACCCATTTTAATAAAGGGGGTACATCCCTCATCATTAGCCAAAGAGTAGATGTTCTAATAGATAAATACACTCCCTTGTGTTTGATTTCTCTCGTTGTAAGCAGGGATCTGTCTGGCTATTCAGTTTTCACCATAGGTGTGCCAGGTTTGTCAAAAATGGGGTGTGCTCTGATCATTTTCCTTCTTTCTTTTTCTTCCAAACCCACATTATCATAGAGTCATACCTGTCAGCCCAAGATTTTATCTTCCTCTGCTTCCGGAAAATCATATACATAAAATTTATAACACCAATAATGGAGATGGTAAGATTTATGACTCCAATCATGGAGATGAGAATGATGGGCTTAAATGTCATACCCTACCACATAGACAAGGCAGACGAATGCTAGAAGAATATAAAGCCTTTCAGTGTGGGACCAACTATGGTATTATGAGCCATCTCCTTGCAGAATAGGGATTTCTTTGGAGATAATCAACCCAATTTATGAGGGCTCACAGGCTAATAGAAACCAGAAAAAAAAAATGTCTTATAGGTTAGTACTAGATGGGGCAGCCCAGGACCCTCCTTATCCTGTCTCTTTTGATAAAGTTGTGTTGTTTTTGTTTGGCAGACTGATAAAAGCCATTATGCCAACTTTTCTCTTGCAGTGTGATACAAGATTATTACTGGCTTCCTTGAAACTTCCTGACTGCTTTCAGGGTTGTTCACTCAAAAGCTTTTCAAAGGTTGAACCCTAATAGCTCATCAACAACCAAGTTGATTAGCTAAAGTTTTGAGCCTTTGATGATTGATTCAAGAGGCTCTCAGAGCAACTTGGTGTACGAGGTGGGGTACATTGACCAGCAAAAGCTAGACAGCGAGGAAAGGGCATTTAAAAGCACTTCTTGAAGATCTCACCCTCACTTTCTTTTTTTTTTTTTTTCTCCCCTTTTCCCTTTTTTTACTGCAAAAATAGGTAATAGCCACACAAACTTAGAGGAAAAATATAAAGTTATAAAGCTGATTTGTGGTCCATTTCTCTTGTGTAACAATATTTAAGGGTTCATAGCTGTATCGGATGCATAGCAAGTGTATGTGGATGATCATAAAAGCTTAGGTCTCATGCCCAAAACCCTAAGAACCATGAAAAGCTCCTTTTGGATAAAATTTGCTGGAGAAAATGGAAATGCTTCTGTCCTAAAGCATTGTAGAGATTTTGTTTTTTCTTACTGTTGAGAGCAATAGCTATTTAAATTTTAAAAAGTAAAGTTTCCACCAAGTAAAAAAAAAAAAAACTTTTAGGAGAGAAAGAGAGAGTGGAGGTTTTTGCCTTTTAGGTCAAGTAATGAAATGGAATATTGGAAATTCCAAGTCCTACTACTCATTTTAGAATTTAGAAAACCAGTTATCCTTTTTGATAAAATATGGAAGTATTTTTTACGTTGTTTGTTTTAACTTAAGTAAAATTCTTTCGTTTTTTTTTCTTTTTTATGTTTTTAGTATTACACGGTACACATTAAATGGGACTCAAGGGAAGGGACAAAGAAAGAAGGGCAGGGTACATGTGAAGCCAACTGGCCATACCACAGAGAGCCTACATTTCCACGGGTTTAATCGTATGTCTCCATTTTTTCGGAGCAAATGACCATCTTGACCAAGTAAAATATATTGTTTGCCGAAACAAATGCTAGAAAATTTGTAAAATTCTTGAAAAAAGCTTTTCTTTTGCAAATATAAAATTGAGGGTATGTTTGGTTTGCAGGAATAGGGGTTTGGAATCAGAATAGGAATGGGTTATTCCAATTCCAACTGTTTGATTGAACGGAATTGAAATTCCATTTTCATTCCTGCTAGAATGGCATTCCCCCATTTGAGGGAATGGTCATTCCCTGTCTCTTTCTTGGAAATGAAATTCCATTTCTCCTAGTTTTAATTCACATTTTTATTCCTGTCTGAACCAAACAAATTATGGGAATAAACCATTCCAATTATGATTCCAATTCCAATTCTGACTATGAACCAAACAGACCCTCAAGTTTTCAACTTTGCTACTTTTTCTTAGCATTACCTCAGGGCTAAAGCTCCAGACCTGTAGATCCTCAAAACTTTCCTCATTTCAAATTGAAGAAATTGAAAACCGTGGAATCAATTGGGCCAAATGAGAACTTGAAAAGTAATCTCAACTATCTCGATACTAAACTAATACACATAAACTCTAATTAATAAAGTCATATATAGTAATACTTATTGAGCTAATGGTATTATATTTTCTTAGAAATCCGCTTCAGTGCTCAAAAGACGGTGTTCTCATGATTGACACAGTCCTTGCAGCTTTTTATTGGGAATATCTCTCTATGAAAAAAAACATACAAGTACAGAGATATTCCCAATGCACAGCTGTGAAATGCTGTACGAACGATGTGAGTACGGTCCTGTGTGCACTGAAACTGATGTCAATATGGAAAAATCAAGAATTCCATTTAATTGAAACTCTTTTTATTTTTATAAATTGTCCTTCTATGATATTTATTAACGATAAGGCCTTGTTCG